CACAACATGAACGAAATACAGTATCAATTCACCTTCTGAACGATCATCTCACACTGAGTCCCTTTCCCCGAAGCTGGGGCACCCGAAATCATCACTTTCAACGGTTCACCTTTTGAGCTTACAATCTTCGGTACCTGCTCCAAACATATGGTGTATATCAGAAAACGAGAGATATTTCAACGATGTTACTTCTACTTTTCTTCTTAACATTTGATATTTGTGAGAATGGTCCAATTCTACAAAGGATAAAATCCACATCCGATTATGGAGTGATCGCCCCTCATACATCCACGATTTTCTGTAGATCTAAGTTTTACCTAAAATGCCACCACCAATCAAACAAAATGCTCAGCATTGGACCAAAACGTAACAATTAACCTAGCATACGAACACAATGCAAGAAGTTCACTCAATTTTCCACCAAATAGTTCTATTACGCGTCGATTTTTCCAATTGCTTCAACTGTGAATCCCGCGATCCAATTCATCATCAATTCCTAATAATAAATAAGATAAGAATCGAACCTTCCGCGCGTATTTGTTCCTGATACCGGCGATCCCGTACGCATTGTGTGGTGAAAGCTGCTGATGCGGCAGAAAAGGAGATGAAACGTGGAGCGAAGAAGGAAGAGAGTGGGATCGAGAGGGTTTCGACGGAGGAGAGAGTTTATGAGCTAAAGAGGCGTTGCAGCATTGAGCAGCGGCGGCGGTGGAGCAATTCAACATGGCGGAAAACTCACGCAGTGAGGGTGTGCGAGTGTGTGAATTTTGGGGGAGAAGATGAAGAGAGAAGTGGCAGCACAGAGGCTGAAATTAACGGATCAATTGCCGCCAGAGGCTATAAATCCACAATTTTTGATATTTCAAAATGGGCCCCATAAGAATCAGATTTCTTAATTCTACCCATAAAAAATATTCATTCAATGGGCCAAAGTTATTAAGGACTCAAATTCATAATTAAGGACATGGGCTTAATAATGAGCAAATGCCTAATATATATACGTCCAACCCATAATTAAATTAAATGAATATATAAATAATTTAATTATAAAAAAAATGTAAATAATTTAGTTATCATTAGAGGAAGTTGTGGCTCATTTAGGCATCGGAGGGTGATGTGGTACGATTCCACACCATATTATGTAATTCTTCCATCACATTTATTGATTCCTTTGTGTGGGCCCTACATGCATTACAAAGTCGTTAGGCCACCGGGATTGGTCCCGGCGGAAACCCTCCGATGCTCAAGTTTGTATATGATAGAAGAATTAAGAGAATTTAAGAGACTGCTCGCGAGTTATGAATTGTGTAACTTTGATTGTGAGGTTTCCGTATATTTATATGGAGACATATATTTTCATGTACCTAAGTCACTCAACACGGGTCTAACTATTTAGATCATGGTCAGTTAAGACTTTAGCCAACTTAGACATGTAATATTATTTTTGAGTAATGTTCAAAAAGTACCCCTATGTAATCCTTATCTGCCAAAAAACCTCCTATGATAAAAAAGCTAGCAAAAACTTCCCTATGTAAAAAGGTCAAAGGCAAAAAACCCCTTCCGAGTAGATCGTGTGCTACACTCGCTGCTTGTGTGAGTTTTTCTTCATTTCTGCTTATTAAATGACAGAATTGCCCCCCTAGCCCCTATCACCATCATCATCTCTCCACTCCCCTTTTCTCTCTCTTCGAAGAACAAATTTTTTTCTTCTACACACATATCCATCATAAAACTCCAAGATTTCTTAGAATAATTTTCAAATGGAATTGAAGAAACAATCTCTCTGTATTTTCGTGCAATCACCTCCTCCGCTTAGAAATCACTCAATTTTGCTGCTGCAAATCTGGGATTGCCGGATTGAGAAAAGATTTTTTTTTTTAATTTTAGGTCCTTTCTCTCTCTCTCTCTCGTGAAGAAGAACGAATAATGCTCAAACAACAAAACAAAGACTGAATATTGATCCTTCATCACGATGGCAGCCCAGCAGTACGCAAATCACCAATCACAAATATTAAACCATTCCTAGATAGTCAAAGCAAGTATTGGATCAAAAAAATTACAACACAAAAGCACATGAATCGCCGATGTTTCATCGGCAGCGAAGGAGCTTTGTTCAGTCAACCCTTTTTTTTTTGTTCGAGTTGGAAGTTAGTAAGGTATCAGCCTTCATCATGCAGTAAGCAATTCCGGTTCGAGTTATCAGAAGATCTTTATGACTCTACGAGAAATCTCCGGTGGTATTCTAACAGATTTTGTGAAGAAGGCGTCCGAGAAGAAGACGGGTTTTATTGATTCTTTTGGGGAAATTGCAATTCAATCCCATAATTTAAGGTTTACAAATTTAGCAAAATTGTAATTTTGCCCCTATTGAAGGGTATATTTGTCTTTCTAGGTTCAGTCAATGACTAAAATTGTAATGGGTGCAGTGAGCAATTTAAAATTTTACTCGGGGGGGGGGGGGGGTTTTGCTAGTTATTTTATCACAGGGGTGTTTTTGGCAGATATGAATTACACATGGGTACTTTTTGCACATTACTCTATTATTTTTAGTCGATTTGGGCTTGGTATTTGATTCATCGCCTCAGCACTACCTGCATTACAAAAAAGTCTTTAGGACGCCGAGATTGGTCCCCAACGAAAACCATATCGTGGTCGATGGTGTATGTCAAAGATATCACCGATTGTATAATCTCCTCGGTAGTTATTTCAAAAATATTTGCCATGACATCAAATGTATATACTATACTTATACACATAATTATGGTTAGTGCAAGCAAATAAATGCTAAGAATCTCACACTTGACGTGTGTGCAATATACACAACATAAACAATGCCAAAGAATCTCAACTTGCCATTTTACTCACCGACTCCTAAAAAGAGTACATGCTCTAAACGTGAGTCGTTTCTTTCAACACACTTCTTCTCTCTCTACTCTCTCTCTCTCTTAATTCCCACATCTACACGTTGAATGCCCTAATTCCCAATTCCACAGTCTTCAAACCCTCGATTCCACTTGAAGGCCAAGGTTAGATCTATGGATTGAGAATCATTTGTTTTGAAAGTTTCAGTCAAATTTCTTATTTCTACGCTGCATTTTATCTCGTCTTATTTCAACACCCACTTTGATCTGAACGAAACCCTGCCCGATTTTTTTTCAAAATCCCTCTCAATTTTGTTTTCAGATCTGCTAATCGCCCCAATTCAGATCTGCTAGGGTTAACAGTAAAGATATGGAATTTCTTCACAAGTTGAAGATCTGTACCTTGTTTGTTTTCGTAGCTTTTTTACAATTAGGGCAGGGATTTTATCTCCCTGGTAGTTACCCTCACAAACATGGAATCGGCGATTACTTGAACGTAAAGGTGAATTCTTTGACCTCAATCGACACCGAAATACCCTTCAGCTACTACGACTTGCCCTACTGCCGCCCAAAGGAAGGGATCAAGGACAGTGCGGAAAATCTCGGCGAACTCCTCATGGGCGATCGAATTGAAAATTCTCCGTACAGGTTCAAAATGTACACGAACGAGACTCAGATTTTCCTCTGCCAAACAAAGCCTCTATCCACCGAGGAATTCAAGCTCTTAAAAAAGAGGATCGATGAAATGTACCAGGTGAATGTCAATCTAGACAACCTGCCCGCGATTCGCTACACGAAGAAAGAAGGGTTTATGCTGAGGTGGACCGGTTACCCGGTCGGTGCGAAAGTGCAAGAAGGCTACTACGTCTTCAATCACTTGAAATTCACCGTTCTCGTTCATAAATACGAGGAGACGAATATGGCTACTGTGATGGGCACAGGCGATGCTGCTGAGATCATCCCCACTGCCAGCAAAAAAACGGGTTCCGACCCGCCCGGTTACATGGTTGTTGGATTCGAGGTTGTCCCTTGCAGCTTCCAGCACAATGCCGGCTCCGTAAAGAACCTGCACATGTACGACAAGTACCCTTCCCCAATCAGCTGCGATCCGGGCACAGTAGCAATGCCTATCAAAGAAAACGAGCCGTTGACTTTCTCGTACGAGGTCTCATTTGTGGAGAGCGATATCAAGTGGCCTTCGAGATGGGATGCTTATTTGAAGATGGAGGGTGCAAAGGTGCATTGGTTCTCGATCTTGAACTCGTTAATGGTGATCACTTTCTTGGCTGGAATCGTGCTCGTGATTTTCTTGAGAACCGTGAGAAGGGATCTTACTAGGTACGAGGAGCTCGACAAGGAAGCTCAAGCCCAAATGAACGAGGAGTTGTCTGGGTGGAAGCTTGTAGTTAGTGACGTTTTTCGAGCTCCTGCTTATCCGTCACTGTTGTGCGTTATGGTAGGTGACGGAGTTCAAATACTCGGAATGGCAGTTGTCACGATCCTATTCGCCGCCCTCGGATTCATGTCACCTGCCTCACGTGGGACCCTCATAATCGGGATGCTCTTCTTCTACATGGTACTCGGAATCGCAGCTGGTTACGTGGCGGTTCGTCTGTGGAGGACTATATTTTGTGGGGACCACAAGGGGTGGGTCGGGGTTTCGTGGAAGGTTTCTTGTTTCTTCCCTGGAATTGCGTTTCTTATACTCACGACTTTGAATCTACTGCTATGGCATAGTAATAGCACGGGGGCTATTCCGTTTTCGTTGTTCGTGATTCTTATTTTGATGTGGTTTTGCATCTCGGTTCCTCTTACACTCGTCGGTGGCTATTTTGGTGCGAAGGCATCCCATATAGAATATCCCGTTCGGACCAATCAGATTCCTCGGGAGATTCCGCCTCAGAAATACCCGTCTTGGCTTCTGGTTCTTGGAGCGGGTACCCTTCCGTTTGGAACACTTTTTATCGAGCTTTTCTTTATCATGTCGAGTATTTGGATGGGGAGAGTGTACTATGTTTTCGGGTTCCTCTTGGTTGTTCTTTTGCTATTGGTTGTTGTTTGTGCTGAGGTGTCACTTGTGCTGACTTACATGCATCTATGTGTCGAGGACTGGAAATGGTGGTGGAAGTCTTTCTTTGCCTCTGGTTCGGTTGCGTTATATATATTTCTCTACTCGGTGAATTATCTGATATTCGATTTGAAGAGCTTGAGCGGGCCCGTTTCTGCGACTCTGTACCTTGGGTATTCGCTATTCATGGTTGTTGCGATTATGCTTGCAACGGGCACTGTTGGATTCCTTTCTTCGTTTTGGTTTACGCACTATCTGTTTTCTTCAGTGAAGCTGGATTGAGAAAAGTTGATTTCGGAGAAAAACAATGGAGATGAGTAGGAAGCAACTTACGGAAATATGTTGTTAGTTTTCGTGTTTTTCTATGTCGTTTTTTTTTTGTTAGAGAATTTGGATCCATAATAAAAATGGTTATAAAGTTTTTGTAGCTTCTTTGTTTAGAGTATAATTGTTCTACTTCATAGATAAACTATTTGAGGATGAAAGAAGCTAAACTCAGTTTAACAAAGGGACTGAATTGATAAAATGGGCTTCAAAGTGGGCTCATTAATAAAATGGGCTTTACTTATATGGCTGAAAAAAGATTGGATATAAAACAAATTAATTATTAATCGATTGATTTTGGGTACATAAGAACAAAAAACAAGTAACGTGCTACATAATTGTACTTGACCCAAAACTAAAAGTTTTTCCATAATCGAAATTGATTTGAGTTGCTCAATTATTGGGATTTAGGTTTTGTAGTCAAACAAGAAAACAATCAATTCCGATTGAGCAAGTTTGAATTCTCAGCCATTTTTGACAATAATATTTATCACACACAGACGCACGTATAGTATGTAAATTATTAGCGATCCACAATTCTTAATTACAAATTTAATGATGATAAAATTCATATTATAGTACATGATTACTTCCAAGAAAAAAAGACCTACATCAGTCCCACAAGAAATGAGATAACGGTGGAACCTAGTGAACATATGTTAATTGATTCAGTCGTGAACGGTCCTTAGGGCCTAGATAGATTTTGTCACACATGGTCAGCTTAATGTAATTTACAAACTATTATACGAGAGTGTATTTTTACTTGTTGCAGCAACTATATAATTAATTGGTTAATTGAAAAAAAGAAATAAGTCTCGGCCACACATAACCTTCTAAAATGCTAGCATACAAAATTAATTTCCTAGGCTCTAGGTGTTCTCTCGGTTAAACCTATTGCAATATTTTCCTCCGATTTTTGTGGAAAACTATGATCTAAATATTTACCAATAAATCCCATATTTTATCTATATATAATATAAAAAGAGAATCTATGCCCTCAATGATTGACATGTGGCAAATGATGATGTCATTTGTCAAAATTGCTTAGTTGGAGTTCAATTGATTAGGTGGATTCTTCAATTGATTAGGTGGCATTTTTATTTATGGATGTTTTTAAGTTTTTTTCCTATTTTACATTTACACAATCATTTAATAATTACCACATGTATATATATTATTTCCAAAGTTAATACTTTATAAATTCGAAATAAAAAAATCTTATTTATATTTTCAGTATTTCAAAATATATTTATTCAAATAAATTCATGAAACTCAATTGTTTTACGAATATTCAAATAATTTTCATAAAAAAAATATTTTTTTAAACACTAAAATATTAAAATAAAGGAATATGTTGTTGTTGTTGTTGTTTTTTTTTTTTTTTTAATTTTTAATATTTTAGAATATTCGAATATTCATTCCATTAAAAATAATAATAAAAAAAAAATATTTTAGTTTTTAATTGAAGTATTTAATAAATATACACTATTTTTTTATATAATTTTTATTATACCATATTTCAAATTAAAAATAATTATATTATTTAACAAATATGCAATGCACGGTGGATTAATTCTAAATGCAGTAGTTGGTTGTATATTTGGAAAACACTATTTAATATATAATATGGCCCGAATTATAAAATGGATTATGCATTATATTTATTAATTATTATTTCAAATAAAATATCAAATCACCAATATAAAGGAATCTTTAATATCCAAGATTCCATCATATCATCTTTGATTGATTTAATTTATACTTTAATTCAAAATTGAATGGTAAAAAATAAAAATCGTATCTTCATATTTAATGTTTGTATATTGCAAGATTTTTTTCCACAAGTTATTATTTTTTTTGGGTTGTTTCCTTTATTTGTTTGATTTGATTTCATTTACTAATATATAAATCTTTTGAATTTTTAATTTTTCCATATAATTAAGTTCATTTTCAATACTATATAAACCCCTCAATGTTCATTTCATTTTTTTCTACCACCATTCGATTACAAAGTGCACAATGTTCGTATTATACAGTTTCATATTACATTTCTTTTTATCATTTCTTATAAATTATTATAAGTATATATGCATAGTTTTATATTCATAATTAATTTTATATATACATATTAGTACTATTTGTA